GCCCCGCCCCGGCCCCGGCCCCTGTCCCTGGCGGCCGCGGTCGGGGTGCGGGCCCCCGGCTGCAGAGTCTCCCAGAGCCGCCCGGATTGCGAACGAGGGCGCGCTGAGCTGGGCGGAGAGACCCCAGAGGACTCAGCTTCTGCCCGCCTTCCAGCCCCCAGGGGCGGACCGGCGTCGGGAAAGTTGAGGCGCTCGGGGTGGGGTCAGGAAGGCGCGCTGCTGCCCCCTGGTGACCAAGCAGCCACCGGCTCCCCCTGCACCAGGGCCTTCTCGGGAGGAGGGAGTGGGAAATTGGGGCGCAGAAGATGCCCAAAGTCTGCTCCTAGAATCATTGAGGAGCAAGCTCAGCCCAGTCATCCCTGGTTTAGGAGACCTTTCAGTACCTGCAGACCCGAACCATTCGGCCGCACGGTCCCCTTCCTTCTCCCGCCTGGAATTGCCATTTGTCCAGTTCCTACCTACTCAAAGAGAGCTGGAAATTCTTCCGGAACTCCTGCTGGAAAATCAGCTTCCACTCCTATTGTACTGTGCCGTTAGGGACTTACCCGGGTCTGGCATGTTGCAGTTATTTACCCACACGTGTATCTCTTACTTGTGAGACAGCTGAGGAGGTGGACAGAGGAGGAAGTCTACCAACATTTTATTGGATTGTGCAGGGTACATCATGTAGCTCAACCTTTTACTACTACTCATCACAGAGCTTTTGTCTGTAAGGAAAATGAGCCTCAGAGAAGTAGCTTAGCAAATGTTTGTGATTTGTGACATCAAGAATTCCTAAGCAGGCCGGGGATATAGCTCACCGGCGTAAGCGCTTGCCTGGCAAGCCTGAGGTCATGAGTTCAATTCCCGGTACCAAAAAAAAAAAAAAGATTTAAAAAAGAATTCGCAAGCCTGTGTGGCCCCAACGCTGGTGTGTCCTGAGACACTGCTCCCCACTATATAGCAGTCTGTGGCACATGGTAGGCTTTCACAGATACTTGCGGAATGAATGCATACTGGAAGTCAGACCCTAAAGATCTGAAGCACAACCCACACATTTGATAAATGAGGAAACTGAGGTCCAGAGCAGTTTGGTCTCCAGGCCACTTAATTCACTCAAGCACTTTTGTGAACAACGAGCTATGTGCCACAGTTATTCCTGCTTTTAAAATAATTTACAGGCTAAATGAGGAATATAGATAATTTCAAGATATCTAACACTTACTGGACCCTTGTTATGTGGCCCTCTTATGGATAACTCTAATCCAGGAGGAAATCACCATTTGGAGGCACGTCTAGGCTGGGTATCCTACAGGTGACGTCCTTCATACAGGACAGGTGACATGATCAAGACTAGGTGAAGAGTAGATTTTAAGTAAGCTGGAGCTACTCCAGGCCCACTGGGTTATGGGCACCCCAGGAGGGTGGTGTGACGGTAGATGAGGCTGGAGAAGGAAGCAGCTGGATCACAAAGGTCCTCCTATGCCATGCCCAGGTGCTGAATGTCAATTTTGTTCTCAGTGTAATAAGGAGCCACCAAAGTCGGGAAGCTGACTTACTAAAGAGTTAAGGTGGGATAATGAGGGGAAGGATAAGTGGACAAATATGAAATATTTTAATTAATATATTTAATAAATTTTTAAATATTTATATATTTAAATATTTAGATATGTATTTAAATCTTTATTTTGTTTT